GGGCGGCCTGTCTATCTTTACCTACTGGGAAAGGTTGATACAGAGAAGCTTATGCAAGTAACTACAATGGAACGATACCTCAAATATCATGCACAAGATTTTGAAAGGTGCTTTGCACTGAAATATCCAGCTTGTTCCATTGCTGCAAAAAGGCATATAGATTCAAATACGACTATTCTCGATGTTCAAGGCGTGGTATGTTGCCTATTTCACTTGTTATCTGTTCAATAATCAGTGGGCATAATGCACAGGTCTTTTGTCTTGAGAGGTGCATAAAAAGAGCAACAATTTATTTTCTTAACTTATCATCAGGGCTTAAAAAACCTAACAAAACCTGCTCGTGAACTGATAATGCGGCTACAAAAAATTGATAACGACAACTATCCTGAGGTATGTTGAGTAGCTACGAACTGTTTTGTTGAATTCAATGACAATGATTTTAATGTACCTGATTACCACCTACCTGTGTTGTTTCTTATGTTTGTTGCGTATGCCATTTCTGCAGACTCTTTACCGAATGTATATCATTAATGCTGGCAATGGCTTTAAATTGGCCTGGAATGTAATCAAGCCTTTTCTTGATCCTCATACGACATCCAAAATTCATGTAAAATATTAGAGTGCTTAAATATGCTTATCAACCAAGATCCATTAGTTAATCACCTTTTAGTTATATGAAAATTTTGATTTTCATATCCTTGTCAGGTCCTTGGCCCCAAATATCAGAGCAAACTGTTTGAGATCATCGACAAAAGGTAATCTCACTGGATACCCATGTTGGTTGTCATTTTGTATGGTCAACCTTCTACTGAATATTACCTATTTAGCTTTACTTATTGTTTAAATTGATTGCCTCATACAGCCAATTACCTGAATTTCTTGGCGGTACATGCAATTGTGCAGATCAAGGAGGTTGTGTAAGGTCTGACAAGGGACCATGGAAAGATCCTGAAATCTTAAAGGTCGTTAAAAATGAGCATTCACGTGCAAATTCTATGACTGTATTTTCAAATTGCCAAATTTTTAAGTTTTTGACTTGTTGAATTCTGATTGATTACCTGCAGTTGATTCAATCTGGCGAAGCCGAAGTAGCTATATCAAACAGTGAAGGCAGAGTTATTGCTTATAACAAGATGGTATGTTAAATTTCTCGAATAGAATCCTCTGTGGGTACATAAAAATTTGTTACAGTTTTGTTTGCATATTATTTGTTTGCCTTATGTTACTTATGTATTTTTGCTTGACCAGATTAAAAATCATGACACATCAACAGCAGAGTCTGGATCTGAAGTTGAAGAATTTTCTTCTTCTAGAGCACCTAGGGCTTCTTTGGAGTTAAAATTGATGCCAGTGGATGAAGAAGTAAGCCCTCATGTACCCAACATCTAATATACTTGACTTCCATTAAATTAAGTTAATATTTTGCACTAATGTTTTTATTGGAATTTTATATTCTTAGGCTCTTTCAACCTGGTTTTCTTAAAACTCGACCTTACCTCCTCCCATTACTATTTCCTCGTCAGTTTTGTCTAGGTAGAGGCTGTAGGCTGATTCTTAATACTGCACAAGATATATCTCTGAACATTAAGAGCTGCCTATTCATAAAGAGTGATATCTAAATTCTAAAGCTGCATAGCTAGTCATAGAGCTGGGCATGGCCCGGCCTGGCCCGCAGGTGGCACAGGCACGGTAGCGGCCCGACACGGCACGAGCCCGCTAGCGGCACGGCACGAGGAACGAGGGGGCCGTGGGCCGTGCCGTGAACAAAAAAATAAAAATTCAGCACAAACCCGGCACGAGCCCGCGGAAGGCACGAACTTTTGGCTCGTCAGCACGGCCCAGCACGACCTATAATAATAAAAATAATTAAAAAAAACTATAAATAATAAAAATATAAACAATAAAAAGAAATATTATAAAAATAAAAATAATAAAAAGAACCATAATAATATAAAGAACTATGAATAATATAAATAAAAATAATAGGGAAATTCTACATAGTAAGCTTGTTTTTTTCACTTTTCTACGCTGTGACCTAACATATATGACTTTCTACATTGTAACCCTAAAGTACAAAAAGTCACTATATTGTGACCTTGCCGTTAAAATTAATTAATTAATAATAAAAATAATGGGCTGGCCCGCGGCCTGGCACCGGCCCGCCAGGCACGTGGGCCGTACCGTGCCGTGGGCTAGGGGTGTGCCATTTAGTGACCCGGAACGGCGAGGCACGGCTGCGGAAGCCCGACACGACACGATGCCCAACTCTGCTGCCAGTCATAAGAAAATTCTGATTGTCTTGAACAGGCATTTGGTAGTATACTTTAAAAAATTTGGCCTAAACCAGAATAATTTAACCTTTGTTATTCCTCTTTTTTTTTTTTTTTCTGGGGGGGGGGGGAGGGGGGTGGAGTTGGGATTTTTCACTTGATAAAGTTTCATGTAATTTGAAGATAAGAGGGCAAAGGAGGAGATCCTGACAGGAAATGATATTTTGTAGGCTCAGATAAGCCAGAAATAGTGGGGAGGTTTTGGGAGGGTGGGGGTGGGGGGGGGGGGGTGGGGGGCGGCATTTTCACTTGATAAAGTTCTATGTATTTTGAAGATAGAGGGCATAGGAGGAGATCCTGACAGGAAATGATATTTTGCAGGCTCGGATAGCCAGAAATAGTGGCTCTACTGGTGGCTTTCCTGATAATGATGAACATGTTCCTGTAATTGTGAAGCATTTGGATTCAGAATCTGTAGGAGTTGTCTCCACTGATCAGTCTAACCAATCCACAGGTTAGCATACCAGTTCTAAAGTGTAAGAGTACTATTTCATCCAAAATGATTTATTTATGGTCGTATGTTTGTTATTGCGTACTAATAGTTGGGCTGCATTCTTTTCTTTAATTCTTTTTATGTTGTGTTTCCTTTTTTGCTTCTGGAAGAACTAGTTCAACTTGGACTAGATTTTATTGTTTGCTTGTGAGATAATTGTCTAATTTGATTTTTCAGCATGTTTAGTGTAATTTATTGCAGAGACAATAATTCAACAATCTGCAGACGTAGAGCAAAGTCATTTCCGAATTTTTGCTGCAGTTGTGGCCTTCTTTGTGACCTTATTTGCTTTCTTCCGATCAGCAACGCTGAAAATTTCTCGAGAAGTTCCCATGTTTATTTTGAATTTTGCCCGCAACCTTCATGATATCCTTGGACCAGATTTTAAAGAGAATTTGCAACAACCGTCAGTGAGTCCAGACATGACAGAGACAGAATTTCGCTTAGTTACACTCAGAAGGCTCAGTGATCTTGAAGAGAATGTAAAAACATTACAGACAAAGCCAATGCAAATGCCTTCTGAGAAAGAGGAGTTGCTAAATGCTGCAATATATCGTGTGGATGCTCTGGAAGCAGAATTGATTGCAACCAAAAAGGTAGCTCTCTTAATTGTAAATTTGTTACAATTATTAGTTTGTAATGAAATGTTTTTCTGATGTAAAATGAATAGAAAAAAACTCGAAGGGCAGCTCTTATTGTGTCCTGCTACAGGAAAATTAAATAAGTCTGAAGTGTTTGTGGTTTATTATATCATTGTTTGATGAACAGGCATTACATGAAGCTTTGATGAGGCAGGAAGATTTGCTTGCATACTTTGACGCACAAGAATCTGCTAGATTCCGGGTATATAGTCCTGAAAAACCTTGTTCCTTAAGCTATTGATGTGAATGCGGACTTTCCCTAGATGTTTGTTGCTTAAGTTTACATTGCTTACGTGTATTATTCAATCTGCAGGGGAGAAGGTTCTGCTGGTGAAGAAAGGGTTGCTGTTTACAGGGAGAAACTTGCCAAATATTCTTTGGGTCTCTTTCTCGGCGTTGTGTATTGGGGTAGAGTTTTTAATTAACAGAGGATCCTCCTGTATTTTCTGTACAGTATAGAGTTTCATATTTTTCTCCTGAGGTTAATATTAAAAGAAATGAGAGAAAAGTTAGTACTCGCATGTGTTTTCTAGTTTGTCTACTGTTGACATTTCTTGCGATTGCCCGTCTCAAGTGAAATTCATAGGTGCGGACGATATCTACTGATTTTTCTACAGCACCCCTAATGATATATATGATCATATGATGATTTTATCCCTACCCAAAGATATTTCCAATTTCAATCAAACAAAACTGAGCAAGGCGACTCGTTAATGTCCCTTAAAAGTTGGATTCGGAGGCGGGACTACAAATGCTAACACTGAAAATGACCTGATGCAATTTTGTTAAATTGGACCCTAAAATCATTTCTATAAGGAAAAATGTTTTCTAAATTATAAATTATTTAATGATAAAATTCAAGAATAGATTATGGGTACAAGTAAATTTCAAATATTGGGGCCTTTTTATAGTAGTTATACTTAGGAGGCCTATGCGATCAACCACCCTGTACATGCCTAGAATCACCCCTGGTTGGATTATTCACCATCACCACAATAAAATGCTAGCCAAGACCTTAAATTTAAAACCATAACTGAGTAGATTACTGACTGAATGTATATTTTTGACCACAAATAAGAAGACGATGATTGAGATATATTTCTGATTTATGCGTTCATAGAAACAAGAATCTGATACTTATCACTTCTGGTGGATTCCTGCAAGACAGAATATTGTGTTTACTTGCTATGAGCTGCTCTATGTTATGCTGGGAGATGTTTTCTTTAAAGCTTACATGTATTTTTATGTAATTTGTTCCTTGTGTCGTGTACAGTTATGAGAAATTGAGGACTTTAAGGGGCATGACTAATGGTGGAAAAGAATGATATAGGTCGAAATTTTACAGAACCTGTTTTTCATGTTAATGTTCCTTGTGCTTCGCAGAAGCTTAGCCTTAAATCCAGTGAAAGCAAGCAGTTCAGGCAGAGATAGTAGCAAGCTAGCAGCAAGTAAAGAAAATATGGCCTATAAAAGCGCAACACAAATGTAGACATAGAATTGACATTTCTCTATGATAACAGCATAAAGAACCAAGTAGAGTTGCAAATAATATATATGCACATTCTCTTTTGGTAACATTTGATGATTAGAATCAGATTTTTCCAGTTTACAGGGAAAAAAATTAACACTGGGTAGCAAAATAGCAACTAAAACTATGCAGCAAACTAGCACCCATACACATCATTTTAGTTTCTTCTCTTACCTTCTCATCTTTTTAGTGTTCCTTCAAAGCGCCAACACTGACTTATAGACGGAGCTCTGGAATTTCCTCAGCTTATTAACAATATATACAGGATCAGCTTCTCCGGTGAATATTAATGTATTTTTGGATGGGTTCAGGACTATAGAAATTTCCCCTTTTACAAGTGCGATTATTTTCATCACTTTCAGCCTGCACTTTAAGTAGTGAAGATCCACTGATACTATAGTTTTCTGCATCAAACCAAAACTAGTCAGATTAGCTAATACTATACCAAACAACCAGTGCACACAGCATAATGACGCTTAAATTTAAATCTCTGAACTTGAGAAAATAATACAAGTATTATGTAAAATTAGTTTTGATCTGTTAATGTAGCGTAAAACAATAACTTTAATCAGCAGAAAAATCTGTAAAATAACTCCATACAACGACAGAATATAACAAACAGATTCTGCTGCACACTATATCAAGTTAAATTAAAGCACATAATGCAAAAAGATTACTCCATAGGTGAAAAAGATCAAACCATAGACATAATTCTGAAAGAACTAGATACACAAATGGAGAATAAACAAGTTGGAAAGGAACAAAAACTAGATAACCCATTTATATATTCATGTTCACTACTCTTTTCTGATATTTTCACTCAGACGCAAGCAAGAATAAGTTTGTGGGATTCTACCTATAGAATTTATCTTGGCAATCACTCAGAGACCAGTTGTATCCAGTAATAATTCTGGTCATGACAATGCCAGACGCTATATGTCACTTATATGCATTTAAACACCAAATATGGAACCTGATGAGGCTATCCGTGGCATAGTGTTCCATCCCAGTGATGCTCGAGAGTTCATCATGAGCCGAGCAAAGCTACAATCGGTTATGAAATTTAACGTCCAAACTGCAAATAATGAAATTAGACATTACTCCAACAGAAGAATCACCATAGCAGCTAGTAATACGCCCACTTACATATATGAGTCAATTTTAGTTCTCTAATCAAACTATGACCAATAATTCATCAAAATTTAAGTTCCTCCGACCCTCATGGCAACAGATAATTCAATTTACAAGGGGCAACTCTCTGAATTCCATTTCACACTACAGTTCTTGCTCAAGCACTATGAATGAATTGGGAGGCACAGTCCTAGCACTACATATCAAGTAAAACCTCAGTGTAAGCGTGTAGCAATATCAAGCTAATGGATACAATAAGGTTAATAGAGAAAGCATAAGAAACAAAAACAATGAAATAATCGCAAACTTATAACTCCTGTTGCATGAATCATAAAATACTTGACAGTTACATTCCTTTATCTGGATCACTTAAATAACATCGGCCCCTGATCAATAAAATTGCACACTTAGGAAAGGCAGAAATTCATAGTTGAGATAATACTAAATGTTCAACTACCAAGAAAAGACATTAAGAATTACATGTTGACATATTGTACATACATACCAAAATCTTACAAATTACAGATGAAATTTAAACACGAGGACTCGAGGAGCATCAAATATTGTAATCTAAACTATAGACATTTGGACATGAGCAATCGAGCATGCCTAAGATAACAAATATTTTCTTAAAGAGTTAACTAGGTTACAGCAGCTTTATGGACAATTATGTCGATTTTAATGGAACTGTGCAATCCTCAACAATCAATACCAAGCAAAACCTTTTAAGAAGTGTTTTCAATCTCAATATCCAGTTTCATACCCCTCAATGGTTCCCCCATTTGCAGCACCACGCTCTACTTTGACCATCTGCTTGTAACTGTTGACTATCTTCTGATCCAACTCATAGTAGTATTCCATATTATTCAAGGGTTTCATATCAAGGTCGATAAAAAATGCCTGCAACAGTGCACGGAACATAAGATCATCAAAGAGTAAACGAATGAAATTAAAGGACCATGAGAAACTAGCGTAAATAAGCATATGTAAACCTAACACATTCTTGATACCATTAAATAACCAAATAGGCATCCGATTAACCAATTACAAACTACGGTATATGTCAAGCGCCATGTAGAAGGATCCTAGAACATAAAAAATTTACAAGATTCTGGTGAAATGGGGGGGAAAAGTCAATTAATTTATCAATATTATCATCCGTATTAAACACCTTCATTTAAACCTAGCTAACTGCTGAACCTTTCTCTGTTGAATACAGGTATACAATCATATGGTCTTTTTCTGTGATATCAACATTATACAACTGAAGCAAACAACTTTAAATTAGACCAGGATAGATCTTTACCTTGACATCAAACCTTTGCTTTGTTGAATCCAGGTATATTGTCCTATAGTGTGATTCTTGATCATCATCTTCCCTTGGACGGAAACTAATCATTAAACTACAGTCCTTGGCTGTTGCAGCTATCAAGTAGTCCCTTACAATCTTCAGACTTTCATCTACAGGGATTGAATGCAGAGAGCTATACTTTCCTAATTGCCTGTCTTCACCGGAATCTTTACATATCTTGCAAGGCTGGGAAACAATATCATAATAAGCATGAATTGCCCCTTCCACATCAAATTTGTCAAGCTTTTGGACTTCAAGTAGCCTGTCTAGTACACCGGATTTAAGTATTGCCTCTCCTACAAGATGCACAAAATTCCTTTTACGCAAACCATTTTCTCCATGCAAGAAAGATTTAAGATTATCTTCAAATGCCTCAACCTTAACAAAATCTGTCCCTTGGTCACCACCCCCCATGCCCCCATATATTAGGGAGCTATTTAGAAAAACCCGCAGATTATTCTGTGGATTTGCAAAGAGAGCCTTAAATGCTTTATGTATTCGCTCCCTTGATCCAGAGAATAAATCCAATGGGTCATAATCGCTCAATTGCTGTATCTGAAATATAAATAGAGCCATGTCTCACTATCAGGAATACCAAATGATCAGCATCAAAGTCATCTCAGGTAGAAAGTAATGGCATTTATCTATTGGCACATTGCATATGCAAAAATATCACTATTTGATTACATCTCCTTGAATAAAGATCATGCAAAAAGAAGTAATGAGGGTTACCTTTTGTTGTTGCAATTTAAGGACTTGGTGCATTTTAAAACGAGATACATTCTTCTTGATGGCATTTTCATCAGCTATAAAGCTCGAAGATGGAAGAAATCCCCACTTGGGCTACTCATGGGAGACAATAGAGTTCTTATTAGTAATAAGATCAGATTTTTACTAATTTGGGTTAGTTAATTGAGAATGAAATCTATTATATTAGTCATTAAAATGAGTACTGTCATATGAAATTTAAACCACCTTAATTTCCACGGACAGGCATGGTTTTCCTTTAGATGTGCCTACAAGAAAACCAAACAGAATGATCAAGAAGGTAATTTGAAGCAAGCAACGAGTAGTCACTTTTTTTTTATTAAAAAAAATAAATAAAAAGCAAAGAAAAAAACAAAACACAAACATATTAAGCACAATGTCTGCTCTATGACAAGAACAAACTTACAAAGACAAAAGTCAGTGAAATAAAATCAAAGTTTTCAAACTATTCCGAATTGGAAGAAGCAATCAGAAGGATTTATAGCATCCAAAACCCTAGCAAGCTATAACACACTGTATTCATAATCAAATACCATATCTAAATCTCAAATTTATTTGACAAATTACTTGGATAAAATAATGTTATGATAAGTTGATAACATATAAACTCATGTTTTCTGAAAGTGATAACATAATTCGTCATATCCTTTGCTCTATCAAACAAGTAGCAACATGATATAGACTAAGGCTACATATATCATTGCATTCATCAATATAACACCAGACAGGAATACGATTGTATCTAAAGTGAAACTCAGGTATGCACTACTTTTCTACTTTTCTGACCTTGCTACATAAGGGAAACTCAGGTCGGTGTAAATATAAAAAAGAAATGGAGAAGCGAAAAAATAAAGAAATTTATATTGTTTCCTAGTGCTACTTACCTTGGGGGAATACTGAATGATCTGACATTAGCAGCACAGAATCAGCACCGCAATCCACATTGGCAGCACTAACTCTCCAACCAGGGCGCTGGGAGAGAACATTTCTTTCAACCAATTCCAGAAATTCCCTTGATACAAGAATCTTTACCTGCAAGCTTGCAAAAACCAAGATTTCGTCAGCGCTTCTACTTCTACAATTTCCCGAGTCTTAAAATGAGCGGATCACAATAATGTCCAAAGAGTAATACTAGTTGTACAAATTTGATGCACATTTCTTTAAGGTTTCCGCAAAACCTTAACATCAAGATATTTTTCATGGCTGGTTAAGTGTTGTAGTGAAGGATGATGGTGGATCAAAAGCATGATAATGATATAGAGAAAATTATATTATCACATCCTCTACAGTTGATTTGAATATGTAATTAAAAAGAAAATGGGGAAAGAAAAAATGGCCTCAACTCCTCAAGTTTAAGCAGTCTTTGCAAGACCAACTTAAGCCAGTTTAATTTTTTTTTTAAAAAAAAAAAAGAAAAAAGAAAAAAAAAAGTACTAGTATTTTGAACTTCTTTATCCCTCACAGGTGGTTGTCATTAGACTCATCACTCATTTTCCTTCTTCGTTTTATTCTTCAATATGCTTCAAAACAGACGCTAGTTTAACTCTAAGATAAGCATTAAGCACAGTCTCATGTAGACTTTAGAGTCTAAACACACAACCACAGAATTTCCATGCATAACAAATCGACATAATATTCTTCATGACAACATTAGGGATGGCCTTTATTATAGCAATTTCACCAACTTAAGTTTTTGACCCAACAAACAGGGCATAGACAAACTGAAATTACACATGCACCAAATACACACATGCACAAAATACACTAGCAATAGACAATAGTCATAAGTCAACATACCCCAGGATCAACAAACTCTGATCCTAACAGTGGGATCATCACACATTGCACATACATCTGCTCAGCGACCTCTTTGTTTGGGGATGTAACAATAGCTTCAACATCTTTCCATAAGCTGCATTCATGCTCAGACAAAACCGAGCGTTCAGTCTCTTTTATTGACCCATTCCTAGGGACCTTTGGCACCCGTATTATTTTTCCACTCTGCATAAGGGTGGAAAACTGATCAGCAACCAGAAGTAATTCACATACAATCCAACAAGCATGCAATTTATCATTAGCATTAATGCCCACCAGAAACAGCCAACAGCCATCCAATGACCTGTTTTGTTCACATTAATTCCACTTACGGACAAAGTGAATTCAATCACGGAATTAACGATTAATAAGTTTAGATAAGAAAATTTCAGGAAATATAAGTTCAAATAGTTAAGTTTGGGGAAAAAAGGACTGCCAAAGTTCAATTTACAACCCATACAAGTTCTAATAAGTCCAGTCAAGGTCAGATAAATTCAAATGCATAAAAATCAAGTGAATTGAACACACTCTTAAGTCTCTAAGCCTTATGGAGTATGGACTCGACATCAAGATTTTTGTTCTTTTCAATTCTGTAAGTCATTAAATATAGCCTATTGAAGTTAGGCAAAAGAGATTAACTTTAAAACTAATACAATTCCAATTTAAGCAGTATAACTACATTGAATTGAAGAGAATAAAAGTACAGAATTTAACAAAACTATCAGAAGAAAACAGTAAAAGTGAAATTCAGTTCAGATGAAGCTCAATTGGAAAGTGAATCAGATATAAAGATAAAAAGCCATTAAAATAACATGCAATACATTAAAAGTGCAGGAATCAAAAAGTTAAAAATAAAAAATAAAAAATAGATAAATAAAACATACAAAGGTAGGAGATGATCCAGAGTATGCAAGAACTAAATTAATTGCTCCTTCCCCTCTGTAACACCAATCACCTGCATCTTTTTTCTCCAAAACTACCTTCATTCTGCAATTTAAATAATCAAAACTGAATTTCAAATTACAAATTCACAAAAACTAAATTCAAGTTATATAAAATTTCAGAAATGGGAATCAACATTTGGTCCAAAATTCCTTTAAGTAGAGTACCCTTTTAGAAATTTTATTGGATTAAACTAAAATAAAATAGAGAGAAAAAAAATTAATCAAAAAAAATATTCCTGTAGTATTAATTAATACGCAAATGAAGAAAAAGTATATGTGAACTGGAAATTGAGATTCTGTCTTAGCAAATAATAATACAGTAGAACATGAGGTGTGATTCTCAAGAAATTCACCATCTTTTGCAGTATATAAATGCTGGGATTAAGAATTAAGATGAAAGTGCAAAAAAAAACAAATAAATAATTATCATCTGAATATACATTTCAATTAAAAGTCAAAGTTGAAAGGGACTAAAAAGTTGAATGAATGACTACAATATTGACTGTTTAAGGTGGTTGAAGATCTGAGTATGGCAAATGGGTGTCTGTAATTTGAAGTAATTCGCCGGAAAAAATGGAATTTCGACCGAGAAATGGGTTATTCCGGTGATTGGATTTGGATCTTCAGATTTTTTTTTCCCTTGATTACTTTTCTGATGGAATTGTTTTTGTTTGATGTTGGTAATTTGTGGGGTATTTGATCTGCTATTCTGCCTAACCTCACCCACGGCCCACCCCTTTAGCCTCGTGGAGGGCTCCTACGGACAGTTGGTGCAAGAATTTTGTGGGCTGGCCGACATCATCAGAAGTCAGTAATGGCCGGACTAGGCCTGAGTCCGACCACGGGGCAGCCCGGACTTTGCCCAAAAAAATTGGCCCATTTAGCAATCGTGTCCAAACCCGTTATTTCAAGTTAAACATAACAGGATTTTCAAGCCGAGTCAAAATTTTAACTAAACTAGGGTGGCTACATAGCTAGCAATATTCAAAAAGCTCTTTCGGATTGGCCTTACATCACAACTTTAATTGTTAGTAATATTAATGAGGGAAAAATGTATAAACAAATATTTTTAGAGGTATAAATGTCCGCACACTATTCGTAAGAGTTTAAAAAAGAGCTAATTAACATTAATGAGGGCAATTAAGTAAATAAACATTTTAGAGGGTATAATTATCCAAGCACTATTGTTCATAAGAGTTATCTCATACTTTTTAAAAGGTAGGGATTAGGGCGGATAACGCGAGTCATAGCTAGCCATGTCCGATTAGCTATTTCGGCTTAAGAAAGAGACAATTAACATTAATGAGGGCAAATAAGTAACAAACATTTTAGAGGATATAATTGTCCAAACACTATTCACAAGAGTTATCTCATACTTTTTAAGAGGTAAGGAAATTGATTTTTCAAGCTGTCCAAACCTAAATTTTGTTTTTTGGAAGCTTGGAATAATTCAATTATAAAAATACCATCCAAACTTGGGCTTTCTTCGAGCCAGACTTGGTTTGATCAGGTCTATGCCGTTTATCTCATCCAGTCATAGGTATGGTAATTTGGTAACAATAAACATGTCATATTATCATTTAATTCATAGGTAAAGTACTATTTCCCTAAAGCTACTATAGATTGAAATTGAAAATTAAATTTGAATAAAGAGTATTAAAAAAACACACAACTATACATTTTGCTGCTATGTTGTATATTGTATATTTCTAGTGGACAAGGTGTCTTAGTGGCTCTCGGTTTTTAATGCTCTCCATCATCAATTCGGTTTTAGTTGCCTCCTTCAATCACATTTTGTCAGTTTTCAAGGTTCCGTCGTCGATTTGTCATCATGTTGATAACATGCTAGCTTGCTTCTGGTGGCGTTCCTTGACTGCAACCAAGGGTTTAGCTCTACGGTCTGCTTCTCTGCTTCATCTCCCTAAGGGACTAGGAGGTCTAGGTATTCGCAGTTTGGAGTGTTTCAATTCGGCCATGTTAGCTAAGCAGTGTTGGCGCATTCATCATCATCCCCAGCTCTTAGTTTCGAAGGTTTTATCGGCCAAGTATCCATCTCTTTTCTCTTTACCTTCAAGTAGGAATCCTAGATCCTCTTGGTGTGGATTGCAGATTAGCATGGACACTATTGCCAAGGGTATCGCTTGGAAAGTTGGCTCTGGCTCTCAGGTTCGCATAGTTGAAGATGATTAGGCTCCATGGGGGCAGTACAATTCAAACATTCTTATGGTGGGTCGGATGTTCCGACTTATGTTTCCTCTATTATTAATCTACGTTCTTACGCATGGGATCCTTCACTAGTTCACCGGTTCTTTGATAACAAGACGGCATTCCGGATTCTTTCAGCAGAACGCCCTCTAAAGCTGATGGATGACTTTATGTACTAGAAGTTTACTCAGGATGGCCAGTTTTCAACCAAGTCTGCCTACGCTATGTTAACCCGTCAAGTAACGGCTTCGAGTATCAATGGGCAGGCTTCTGATTCATGGTGGAAGTTTTTCCGGGGTTTACCACTTCTTCCGAAGCTGAAGGTTTTTTTGTTGGAAGATGATTCGCAATGCTTTGCCGCTTTCGGATTGTCTCTATTGGCGTGGTTTACCAATTAATCCAACGTGTGTGTTTTGTCGTAGGGAACCAGAAACGCTGTCTCATCTCTTTCGGGACTGTGCTTTCGTGAGTACTTCTTGGTTTCTCGACCCTTAGGCTCGGTTGGTGGTACTTTAGGTTTCCCGCCGCTTGAGGTTTGGTTTATGGAGTTGATTTCGGGTTTTAGAAGGTTTAAGGATTGGAAAGGTTTAACTTCTTTGGTTTGCATTCTTTGGGCTATCTGGCTGGCTCGAAATCAAATCATTTTCACTCAGGCTCTTCACTCTCCGGCTTTGATTTTCCACATTTCGGAGGATTAGGTGATGCGTTGCGAGAAAGCTAGGGTATTTGCTGCCCGACATTTTGTTCCGCGTCAACCTCGCTTTTCTTCCTTGGTTCCTGTCTCTGGGTGCTTGTGTGGTTCCACTATCGATTCTCTGGATTTCTGCTTAATTTTTTACGGTGCTTGGGATTTTCAAGATAACGCTGCAGGGACACGCTGGATTTTCTGGGGTATTCAGTCCTCAGAGGTTTAAGGGGGTGGTTCAAGAGCTTGTCGATCTTCGTCTGCTCTTCAAGCGGAACTTTAGGCGTGTTTATGGGCTCTTCAGGCTGCAAGTCGTCAGGGGTACCTCCGTCTTCTTCTTATTTACACAGATAGCACTACTCTTGTTTCCCTTCTCTGTCGCACTTGCTCGGATGATATCTCGTGCGCTTGGCTTTTGTAGGACATCCGTACTGCTTTTTTACCTTTTTCAGCTTGTCATATCAGGAAGTTCCTCGGAATTAGGTCTCTCCTGCTCATTGGTTGGATCACTCTCTAATTTTCAAAAAAAAGTTGAAAGAGGAAAAAGGCAGTGAGTCATGTTCATGTTTTATAGCTGGTCTTCCTGGAAGTTTCTATGGGAGGTTGCTTCCAAACAAGTCCTTGCACTTTGTCCATTCTTCTTCTAGCTTGCATTGGCTCTCTCAGGTTAGATTTTTTCTTTACTATTAGCTGTTTTTTTATGCACAAATACTTGGTAAAATTTCTATGCTTAGTATTCTACTCTAGATTATTCCAAGACACTTGCTCCATGCCATGTCCAATCAGTATAATACTTGACACACTATCCTTTATCAATTACTTCGTTTCGAAATAATTAATTGATACGGAGTATATTTTACTTTTTTGCCCGTTTCAAAATAATTGACACGCTATCATAGATGACAAGAAATCGAACTCTATCATTATTAAATTATATTTATCATATTTACCATAGCTCATTAATAATTTTTTCTATTCTCACATCACATGTTACCTTTTAATATAAATATATTAATTCGTATAAAGTAAATTTACTAACTTTACTTTACATTAAACAATTTTATCGTCCCCTACCTATTATTTTCTTAAACTACGTGCCGAATGAAGAGGGTCAATTGTTCCGAAGTGGAAGGAATATTTACTTATGGAGCATTGTGCATGTGAAAAGTATAATAATGCTCTTTATTTTCATTTAATTAAAGTTTTAGTTTAGATGAAAATAATAAGAATTAGAGATTTTTTTTTTTTTTTGAGGAAAGAGATAATTTTAGATATATAGTAAGAAAACAATGAGTTAATAATTTTGTATCGGAATGAAAATTTGTTAAAGTAAAAAAACCTATACATATTACATAGCTTAATAAACTTAATTTAATCTAGTATTGATTAATTTTAAGATTTTGTGATGAAATTGAATAATCGTGACTAATTGTCAACATCATCATAGACTCATAAGTCATAGTGGTACCAAATTGTTCATAATATACAATGTATATATTTTTGTTTCATAAAAAAACTCAAATTACCGTATCAATTATTATTTAAAAAAAAAAAAAGGAATAAAACGTGACATAACTACACCAACAATATTATTTTACAAATCTTATAAAGTTAATTAGGAACGTGGATTATGAATCATATGTATCTTTGCTTCTTTCTCCACTCCAACAATTCACTATCCAATTTGCTACTGTCCCTATTTACGCGACTTACGAGTAATTAATACTAATACCCGTCTATCAACTGTTCATATACATATGTTTTGTGCCACTGGCAAAGTAAGTCAATGAAGACAAATTAGTGAAATTACAAGTTCACAGTTGTTCTTGGACCACCCACAAAGACACAACATTCACAATTATTGAATATTGATGTACTTATTCATCAATAGCCATTCAAAACCTATCTTAAAAGGTATCCCCTATCAAAAATAGTATCAATTCAAAGTCGTCACTTTAACTTAGAAACCTATGTTTTCACCCCCACAAAAAAAAAAAAAAAAAAAAAAAAAAAAAAAAAAAAAAAAAAAAACCTAATATCTATGTACGGAGTACGATGTTAACCAGTTTCCTCAATTAGAATACTACTTTTATTTAGTATTAGTAGCAACTTTGCAATATTTTATATATCACAAATAATACCCCTAAAATTGTAACTAATATTTAACGGAGGTAGTATTTAAACTTGGTACATTGTATCTATAACACCTAATATTTTCTTTAATTTGGTAACTAATAAGCACCATTTCTCTTTTAAAGGTTAATTTTTATTGATGAATATAAGTAATTTACATAGTAATACAAGTTGGGGCCTTGGGTTATATATAAGACCAATGACGGGACGCGATGCTAAGTTTAAGTTTAATTGATATTTTATATCATGTTCTCTAGAATAAACTAATAATATCATGTTATATGTATTCCTCCATATAAGATTATTATTATTATTAATTAAAAAAAAAACTCTGTATATATATTTGCATGTGTGACAGATTGATCGACCGTGTATAACTTTTAATATAGAAAAATGTACTTGTGTATAGTCATATACTCATATTAAATACTTATATGCAGCTCATAGCATAGTCGTGTATCACCTATTGAAAATCGAGAAATAAGGTTTGATTTAATTTGCAGGTTCCAGCGGGTTTGGATGACAAAGATAACGCAAAGATGCTAAACAAAGGGAAGATATACATGTCAATGACTAGCCCAAATGAAGTGATAAACGCATACAAGTTACAATTTAGAAAGGATTTCCTTTTATTTTTGAAATGTCGTGCAGAAGAAGTAATTTCAGGGAGGCGTATGGTG